ATATATATATATATATATATATATATATATGAGATTTCGAATTGACAAACAAACAAAATGCAAGTGTTTAGAAACTGTCATCCGGATGCCTCTGAAAACTTTGTTTTACGAGTAGAAAATGCACGCCGTTTTTCTTCAGATAAATAGAAGTGCTCGCCGTTTTTCTAGCATTACACTTGAGGCATGCTTGACGTTTTATTTTTGAAGTTTGTAAATGGGCCTAAAACTACGGCCTACAATAGCAGTCGTATCATGCGAAGCCCATGGACCATATTCAAGCAAACGATATAATTCACAACAAAGCCCAACACAATGACCTCACGCGCTACTTTAGCGCGTAGATGACACGTGCCTAATTTTCCTGGGCTATAGTGTGGGAAGATGAGTCATTTTTCGCCAAATTCGCAGTCGAAGAGAAAAGGAGCGCGTGGGCAAAGAATTTAATATTTTGCATTCTCTATTCAGCACGTTAATAAATTATCATAGCTCACACGTATTAATATTATAATTTGCCACACATCGTAAAATTAAATAAAAAAAATGAGAACGACTTAAATGGAACCGGAGAACAATAATTCTAAAGCATCTTTTAAAATAAGATATTTAAAAAAAATATTATCGACGACATGAGTATAAAAAGGTTTGTAATTTTAATTGTAAAGTCTTTAGGTCTATTTGTAGCTCCTTTTACAAAAAGATAAGAATTAATATGACAGAGTAAGCTTTTAAAGGCTATATTCACCATAATAGTTATAAAAGGGGACATTCGTATATAAATAACTGAATTTTTGTAAATTTTTTAAATAAATATCTAATCTATAAAATTTTTAAATGTATATAATTTTTCAAAATTTTTACATAAATATCCAAATTTTTAAAAATTTATCAAATAAAACAATATTTATTGACACCTAAATTATCAATCATCAACGGATTCTATTATAAATTTAACGCCGTTAATAGAATTTGATTTCATTTGATAAATTTTTAAAAAATTGAATATCTATATGAAAATTTTAAATAATTCAAATATTTAATTTAAAATTTTATAGTTCATGTATTTATTTTGGAAATTTTGTAAAAATTCAAATGTTTATATGCTATTTTTCATTATAAAAAAAACGGTATATAGCCAATTAATCTTGACAAAAATTCCATAGATGGTAATTGATCAGCTGAGGCAAAATCCACAAAAGATGATGTGAAGCAAAAAAACAAAGAAAAGAAAAGCCAAAGAGGCAAAGCAAAGACAATGAAACCCATCGAACTAAAACACAGCAACTCCCTGTTCCTCTTTTACATATCTTGAACGCTCAAACCTGAAAAAGGTAATAGAGTTTATGAGGACACACATACAATATATGCTAAAACTCAATTACAGCAAGAGAGAGAGAGCAACCGAAATTATCACTAAAACTTCATGCTTGATTCCATAGGCATATAGGCATATAGGCACAAAATCTAACTGATAGTGGAACACATATATGGCAACACCTCTGTGAATGCCAACCTTTAGTCAATCATATAACTTTTCCGGCGATGAAGTTGATTTCTTACAAAGCTATTGCAGTCGGCCTAAAAGAGTTAACAAGCCGGGAAATAGTAAAAGGGTCAATCAGATCAGACACGATTAAAGAGTGATAACTCACTAACCTGGAGGAAGAGACTGCTTGAGCTTGTCGGCCTTCTCTTGGTCGAAAATGCAGAGCGTGTAGAGGTACTTTGAGCAACGGACCTTGAACTTCACGACATCTCTGCTCCTCTTGATCTTCACCGATCTTGCATCCTTCCTTCTTGCTGCTGTCAGAAGGAAATCCTTAATCTCATGGATTTGCTTAGGCTGCATACCAAAACAATCAAAGAATAAGTACACGAAAAAAGCCACATCCTTTTTGGACACAATCTCAGAAACCCATATAAAGAAAACAACAAACAAAACATCGCAACATAGATTTGTTTGGATTTGCGCTTAGGCTGCATACCAAAACAATCAGATAATAAGTACACGAAAAAAGCTAGATCCTTTCGATATAAAGTCTCAGAAACCCATATAGAGAAAACAACAGATAATACATTGCAACACAGTTTTGGTTTTCACTCCAACGATATACAAAGCCTTTCAATACAGAGTCGTTCAAGGCATATGTTACAACTCCAACACAGTAATAACGACAACTAAGATGATAGACTTTTCCCGACAAAGGTTTTGGTTCATCGATGAAAGACGAACATTTCATTCGATTGGATTCGTTGAAACCAACACTGAAGCCATTTGTACAGCATTGTGCGAGACAAATATAAACCAGATTATTAACGAGAAAGCATAATCTTCAGTAAAATGGAAACAAAAGATCATCTCCCTTACATATATCCTTTCTTAAAACCCTAAAATGAAACATCGAGTGTTTGGATTCGGGTCTGCATAATCATCATTCAAGCTCAGGTTGATTCTGATCAAACAAACGAAATACCAAAAATCCAGACAAAGAAATTCAAAGCGAAAGCATGAACGTCAACTGAAAACAACAAAGCGTACCATTTTCGTATCTGAAATTCTGGGAGCCTAACTCGGGGAACAACAGCCGTCGAGAAGGCAGCTCTCGGAATGCAAAGCAATCTAGTTATAAAACCAAAGAACCCTAGAATCTGTATTTTTTTTTTCTCCCAAAAAGATTCCCAATTCAATTTCAGCCCAATAGTTCGAACTTTTTATATTTCAGCCCATTTATACAGAATTTATAAGGCCAGTTTACTTTTATTTTTACGCATAAGGCCTTTTTCTCCCAAAAATAAACCCAATTCAATTTCAGCCCAATTGTTCACACTTTTTACATATCAGCCCATTTATACAGAATTTATAAGGCCTGTTTACTTTTACTTTTAAGCATAAGGCCTTTTTCTCCCAATTCGATTTCAGCCCAATATTTCATACTTTTTACATTTCAGCCCATTTATAAGGCCTATTTACTTTTATTTTTAAGCATTAAGGCCTATATGTTTTATTCTTTCACAAAGGCCCGTTTATCGACCCACTAACTATAAATCGTGCCGTGTATCAAGGGAGAAACCGTCCATTTGATATTTGTTAAATTTCATTATCCCTTACAACAAAATATCGATTTAGACTTTCATTTATTTTATTTTATTTTATCTTCCACGACTCTCATTTTATTTAGTCAATAAATTTGCAAAAGGAGAAAAAAAAATAGCAGGCCCTCTCTATCTCTAACGTTCGTACGTACAAAAGGAAATAAGACCCTATATAATCTATGTATTACATGTATCATCCGACCGTTGGGATTACGCCACGTGTAAATCACTGGACTTGAGGAGGATCTCCCATAGCCGTTGGATCTCGGCGAAGACATCATCGGTCGGAAGCTGAAACCGGCAAAAGGGACAAGTGTTCGTCTTGCTCAGCCATGGCAGAATACATTTCCAATGGAACAAATGCTTACATGGCATCTCGCAAACATCCCTCCCTTGTCTCATCTCTTCTTTGCATATCACACACTCCACTCCTCCTCCGTCTCCGGCGATAACCTCCACCGACCGGAGAGCCACCACCGCCGCCCGAGCCGCCGCCACTTCCTTACCCTCCTTTCCTCCGCCGCCGCGGCCGCCGCCCATTATATCCACAAACCTTTTGCACCTAACAAGGGTTTCGATGTACGGAATCAAGATCCCGGCATTACATGTCCAGATTCCGGACATGCTGTTCAACAGGGTACGAGAGTACAGTTCGCTCAGTACTTGCCTCCAGCTGTCCGGGGATGCTTCCAAGACATCTGGATCGAGCTGATGTGTCTCGCAGAGGAAGAGGAGGAGGACCACCGCATCCAGGTCACGGAGCCTCATGGCGGCGGTGGCCGGAAAATGGTGGTGGCGGTCGTGGAGGCGGAGGAGAGAGAGGAGATGGCAGGAAATGAGGATGGTTTTGTGGTGGAGAGAGAGGGAGAGGAGGTGGCGGAGGGTGACGGAGAAG